GGGCGGATGCATATGTATGCTACATTCTCAGATAGACCGCAGAAATCCCAAAATCTGGCGTCATCAGAAAACTTAGGACAAATGTTGGATGGCTAAAGAGCGTGAATCGTTGGCGTTTTTTAAAAAAAAAAATGTACTCCGCAAAGCGGTATTAAAAAACGTGTGCCATCACATTTGGGAATCAACCCAAATATTTTCTGTTTTTATTTTGCGGGAGGCTACAATGGCCACCGATTGAAAGACAACCTTTTGCATGAACAAAATTTTAACCAATAACTTGACACCGCCTGAACTTCATGATCTTCTGTTTGAGATGAAACAGCTGGCTCTGCCGTTGAACATGAATACTGTATTTGCGATGATAAATGAACACCGATATATTTATTATTATCCCACGACGCCATAGGTGTCAAAATCAATGCCCGAGGGCCAGGTTCAGCCCATGACATCATTTGATGTGTCTCCTGACAGCAAATGATGTGCCTCGACTTCATGAGTCTTGATAAAATACCAAAACTGCAAATTGTCTTCACTTTTAAAAATGTCTAGATATTGCCATCATTTTTTTTGGGGGGGGAGTTACCAATCCCCCTTTTAAAATAAATATAATAATATTGGGAAAATGTTTTTAAGATATAATATTGAATTATTTGGGTTCATAACTGATGTGGCCCGCGACAAAAATGAGTTTGACCTTCCCTGCTCTATGTCAATATGACAACTAAACTATTGGTGGCTTTTTTTTTTAACCCTTTCATGCACCCTGTAATATATACACAATAAGCTGTCCACTGTAGTATCCGCTGTCCCCCTGAAAGGGTTAAGTTGTTAACCGGATCCAAGTATCAGAACGGACTAGTACATGGGAATGAACTACAGATGGTTAGACAACTCCCCGTTTTGATATCTTAAACCTCAACCAGTGGAGACATCAGGGAGTGAAGAAGATTTAAGTTAACAATAGCCTAGCCGTCCCCCCATTTGTCCAAAATATGAAGCGTCTCAACTCTTTCAACTGTTGGAACACTAGAAGCAACAAACAACCACGGAAATCAAGTTGGTCAAACCCTTGGGTCCCAGAGGTCAAGATCCATGTGGTGGTACTTTTTTTTTTGACTCCCATTTGCAAAATTAGTTTCCATTTATTTTGACTTGGTAACAGCAGCTTGGGAGCGTGACACCTTCACAGACGCAAGCGCCAACAAGCACCAACGACCATGACTCATGTGTCCTCAAGGCAAGACAAGCGGGCCGAGTCATTGATTGTGTTTAGCGCTGGCCCCCTGACCCATAAAATAAGGCGACATGATGTAAACCATTTGAACCCCGCCGGCGTGATTAGATGCGACAGAATTCTGTTAAACATACACATCATTGCGGCCAAGTTTATAGCACCTGTCCACCTTTGAACTAATTTGCTGACATGAAACCGATAAGGTCAAATTGGAAGTCAAGAGGGCCAAAAAACAAACAAAAAAAAAAACCCTCAAAAGACTTGACATTCGAAAAGGAGTCCATTCATCAATCATGACACAATAATGAGACGTTTACTTCTGATTACTTCCAAACACCCCGCCAGACACTTTTTAATTCGGCTCAATGATACTGAACACGCAAAAGAAATAACTTCACTTTTGCTTTTGTTATCGCTATTGTCATTACTTTTATATTGTTTGACAACCATTGCATTGCATAATAAGAAATTGCCCTGACAAAGCTATAAACCCAAAACATATTTTTTGTGCGCAGCGGTTCCATTTTGGATGTCGTTTTGATTGTTACGCAACGGCAAGAAAAGCTGTGCAGTAGTAAGACAACCTCACTTTTCTGGAAACAGCCACTAGCTACCCTAACTGGTAAAAGCAAACATCTTATGTTGGTAATCCTCCCCCAGAACATATCCAAAATGTCCTTTTTAGGCTTTATCATCAAGATATATAGAGATAAGATAAGATATAACTTTTGGCATATTTGATGCTCGCATTGGGTGTCATTTTCTTGATTTTGAACAACTTAAACGACTCCAAATACAAACACACACACACACACACACACACACACACACACACACACACACACACACACACACACACACACACAGAAATTCTGACCGTGGCGCTAGACAAGTTATAAAAGGAGACACAACCTACCCACCAAAGTGCGCGCAGCACAACGTGTATATACTCTACATGCATGACTGGATGTGAAAACAAAGAAAAAGAGCCAAAATCACGGAATGGTCCACCATGCGCGCAAAAACTCCAGGCGTTTTTCATTGATTTATATATTTTCATACTCCGTATGTTCATGGATTTATGAATCCACTCTCGAATCAATAAACTGTCGACAATTTGACGATGAATTGCACAACTAAAATAAAACAATGGGAAAAAACTTCTACTTTAGCGCATTTTTATAAACCTCCAAACATAATTATTCCCACGAGGTTTTTTTTGTGGCATGTGCAGTGTTATGTATTTATTCAAAGCAGTGAGTGAAACGGCTTGTTTTTTTTCTCATGCGCCAATAAGATTATGATTTATCCCACCTCCCCCCAATCAAATCAATACACAAACAATTACACATGTCTGTGATTTCTATGACGCAGCTGACTTACTAAACAGAATGAACTTTGCATTTCGATCAGGAGACGTAATTTTCTCGCGTGAATGTTTCGCGTCAACATCTCTTCTCAATGATTGGTGATTAATTGGACGCATTTTTTTTTCATCATCATAAAAGGGAACTGCATGACGCCTACAAGAACTGTGTATTTCATTCATGCAAACCACAGTATATTTGTTATCACTGTATGGACATAAGGTCATGAAAACAAACATCAAGATAAATCAATCTAGTGTTAGGCTTGGTTCAATCTTTTTACTTTGTACAACACATGCATCACTTTGTTTGATTAAGAGGCAACGAGAGCAAAAAAGTCACACACACACACACACACACACACACACACACACACACACACACACACACACACACACACACACACACAAAAAAAGCATGAAAACTAGAAAGTATGATTAAGGCTCCGTATCTAATGTGTTTTTGTGTCCCGCAGATTGACGTTGCTTTTGTGTTTACTCAGCGAAACGAGAAGCGGAACTCGCGCCAAATCCCCGTCTGACCTTTCCAAGTCGTGCAAGTTCTGCAGCAACAACGGTCGTGTTTTGTTGATACTTTTGTTCACACACTCCGGTTTATGATTGAAAATTGCAAACAGGGCTCAAGTGACGTCTTAATGGCCAAATACGAGTGTGACAATGTTGTTTTTGGGAAGGAGTCCACCGTTTCAAGTGCAAATAGCTCCCAACTTTGACACACAATGCGCGGCTATACGTGAATAGCCTCTGGGAAGGCGCAGGCGTTTAACAAAGCCACAACAGATGGGGGTTGTAGCACGTCGTTATGAACAATACACAAAGTGTCAACTCGAATGTTCAGATTAATTTTGCTCCAGTCATAAATGGGGGGGATATAACTTGTAAAACACAGGATAAAATGTTAGAGGGGCCAAACAATAATAGCGCAGCTGCTTTGGTCACAAAACAAAACTCCAAACTTTTCCATTCACCGAGGCTTAAAATTTGACTCGTAGATCATGTCTTCTCTTAAGTTTATCAACTTTTTTGTTTGTTTTTAGCGTTTAATGGCATTCTGTTGAGAAGACCTGGGGAAAAAGAGTGGTCGCAAGCGAACATTTTCAGAAATTACGAGGCTGTACCTATTATCAGCCCTGATCACTCACAGCATCCTTTCACTCTTTGTTCTTTGTTTTCCGAGCCATTCGAATCGTGCGACAGCACATTTCTGCATGAAAGTACCGTAAATTGTTTTAACACCGCCACACTTCAAGTCGTCCTGACCTTTTTTTTCTTTTGGGCTGTGTTCTGGCCAGAGACGTCACATGGGTGGGATTAGAGTGGAGCAGGGATTGGGCATGGTTGCTTTGACATCAGATATTGACCATGCATGTGGCGGGCTCAGATTTGGAAGCACAAGGGGACTAATGAGAAATAGCAGCCATCTTGTGCTAATGGCTGTGCAGTGTCCCTTTCCCGCTGGTCTCACCATCCTGACGTCATGACTCGAAGAGGCACGTGTCACAACGGGTTCTTTATGCAATCCTTCAAGTCATTTGTTGTTGCAGCAGAAATCGGACCGCTATTCTCAATGCGAATAAAATACAAAATTTTTGGGGGGGCCTCAAACCACTACAAAATAATCTTGTTTGTGACCAATGTTCCTTCGACTTTTCCAGCATTCGCGCAAACTCTCTGAGCATTCCTCGGACCACGGTGAGCAACATGAGACATGCAGACGGCAACCAAACCAGTATCACACCTGTCCGAAATCTGCCATCATAACAAGGTACGTGATGTACCGTATTGGCCCGAAAATAAGACGGCCCTGATTATAAGACGACCCCCTCTTTTTCAAGACTCAAGTTTAAAAAAAAAAGACTTTTTGAACACCAAATTAATTTTTATACAGAAAATAATTACAGTACATCTGAAACAAATGATTATAACAATATATTTGAGAGAAAAAGCATGTTATTTTTTTACCTTTGAAACGTGTGAAACGGGCTCGTGAACTATGTCCATATTTGGACTTCCTGAAAGGAACCCTCCGCCAGTTGTCACCGTGTGCGTTGAGAGGTGAGAGAAGTACGCAATTGCTCACAGGCAGCTTAGAGGGAACATTGATTGTGACACACACTTGTAGCAATTTGGACCAAACATGAATTAATTCAGATTTTCACAGTAGGGATGTGTAGTTTTATTTTGTCAAATCAAAGTTGGGTTGGTTTCAATTATGCCCATAAGGGTCATTTAGTTTCCCTAGGACGCTGTTCTTGGGGTCTGGATTTCTGAGCACAAGCAAAGTACATTATGCAAAAATATGCACCCCGCTTTGTGTCTTCCACAGTCCGGGTTTTGAGGGGGCTTTGTTATCTTGGGTCGCCCTCATGCATTCATTCGCACCAACCTTCAGCAATCTTTTTTGTCGCCTCCCTGATATCACTGCACACACACATACAAAGATTATACCCAGATGTTTGAGATGCCAGAGTGACATTTTCTTAATTGTCTTTCCATTCTATTCCATTCCCTTCATTTTTTTTTTTTTTTTTTTTGTCCAATCAGATTTTCAGCCTCTACGTTCTGCCGTCTCAATCTAATCTGTCTCGGTTACGTTTTGCTATGACAAATGAGGTCAGATTGGGATCCCCATTGGCCATGAGGTTTGCAGAGGACATTGCGATCTGCAGTGAAAGCAGGCAAGCAGGTAGAGGACCATTTAGAACGGTGGAGGCATGCGCTGGAAAAGGGAGGAATGAGCAAGACAGAATGTATGCGCGTTAATGAGAGGGCTGGAGAAGAGATAGCGAGGGTGGAGGTCTGTAAACAAACCGTCCAGAGCAACAGTGAGTTTGGTAAGCAGGTGAAGAAACGGATCCTAGCAGGAAGCAACAGTTGGAGGAATGAGGTCAGGGTCTCTAAGTTTATAAGGCAGTGGTTCTCTTTATTCAGCGAAGCAGACTCATCAAATAGGAGCAGATCATGATACCCCACAAACACCTTTGTAATTGTTGATGGTCAGCAGAGGCAAAAAAAGGCCGCTCCGCCACCATCGCCTCCAATCCAAAGCGCTTGTAAACCGACCCTCGCAGTCTAAGCACATCCTCTGTGCTGGGGTCCCTTATTGCCAGGCACACACACACAATACACACAAACTTGTACATGCACACGCTCACATTCCTCCGCAGGCTCTACAAGGGGCAGGCTCAGAGTGTGCTGGAAGCCTGGAACTGTTCTTCAGTGAGAGTATCTCTCACTCTCTGCAGTTGTTAAAGAGAGCAGACGGGGGAAAGCAGGAAGGTAACCAGGGGAGGTCTAACCGCACCATCCCAGATTACCCGGCACCTATTTTAAAAGCGCTGAGTGACTGATGCGCCGTTTGCTGCTGACTTGGAAGAAGATCAAGAGAACCAAGTTGTCACCCTTGCATGAGATGTGTCAAACTTTTCCCGGCCCGCGGCGAAACTTAAAAGTTACATAAGGACAGGATCTCAAGGACAACGGTGGCTTTCAATGGTGGCCCACCAATGTAAAGATGGACTGCAGATATTTGAGCTCCGCAATGTACTTCACAGCCTCTTGATGCGTATCCGAAGAAAACACCCAGCCAAAACGCCGACGAAACAAAAAGAAGATAAAGGACTCCCATTGCCGGCACCGCTGATATGATGCTGTGCTACACGTTTGTGTATCACTTGCTGTCTTTGGCAGCCATTGCAGTGATTGTGAGCTGCGGAGGAGGCGAGCAGAGGAGAGGCGCCGACAACACCGGCGGCAGCGGCGGCGGCAACAACGGAGGAGGTGGCAGCAGACGATTCCATAAGATCCAGCACGGCCAGTGCACCTACACCTTCATCCTACCTGAAGGGGCGTCAGCTGGGGAGGGTTCCTGCAGGGAGGCAAAAGGCGGAAGCCCGCAGTATAACGGCAACTCTCTGCAGCGAGACGCGCCGCCACCTGATCCGGACTTTCCGAAACAGAAGATCCAGCAGCTTGAACACATTATGGAGAATTACACCCAGTGGCTACAAAAGGTGAGGAGGTGTTCAGGTTGGGAAGTGGGGGGGGGTGGGGGGGACTCGTTACATCATTGCTTGACTTTTCCACATGTCTGCACATAGTGGACTAAAATAGAACAGCGGCGCTGAGAAAGAAACTGCATCACATCCTTAACAACCCTTGATGGATTTCATTTGAAGTGGAGCTCGCTGTAGAGTGTTTGTTGAGATGTTTGTGTTCCCGTGGGTGTGTGGTCTCTGCAGAGCGTCTGTTTTGTGGCTTTGCCCGATTTCTTGTTTGGGTTTGCTGAATGAGGCTCTCTGGCTTGCAACTGAGCAATGTTTGCTGTTTTCCTTCAGTTTTCCAAGAGTGTTTTGTGCTCCGGGGTCAGTTTTAGTGTGAAAAGTCAACGGGGAGGACCTCTTGCACAATGAGCTTAAGTAGAGCAGGACAACTCCAGTAATAGGGTCAGCTGAAGCGACAGCTTTGGTGTAATCCCTTGTAAAACATTTACTGTTGCTGGCTTTGTGGAATTTCATGGAACTGTTGGATCAAGGCACTATGCCCTCCATCCATCCATTCTTCGAACCGCGCATCCCCACGAGGGCATGCTGGAGCGGTTATTTTGAGAATAACCCTTAAAGATATAAAGTCTCCACCATACAGCAAAAAAAAAAAAAAAAATTGCTGATAGTCAATGCAGCTTTCACTTGTCTATGTAAGTAAAATAGATGCCATTTTATTGTCTTCTAACCTTTTTTTTTTTTTAGACATCTCCGCATCAGAGCTCTTTTGTTATTGCTTTGTCAACAAGTGAACGATGAATTCAGTCCGTTCCACCGAGTCAGCCAGAGAGCAGAAGTGGTTATACGTCAGTCACCCCCCCTGTTCTCGGGTGGCTTGTCTCTTTAATGGCAGGAAGTAAGCGAGAGCCCCAAGAGACGCGCAAGAGTTGGAGAAGACAGAGTATGAAAATGTTTCCTTTATTTATTCAAGACAAATATGTGTGTGTATAACCTCTCTCCCCCTCAAATTGTCGTTAGACTAAAAAAAAAAAAGTCAAGACATTGTTTTTAAAGTGCGCAATATCCAAGTTATTTATCAAAATTTAAAACGTTTCAATATTCAACTTGTTTGCTTTCTATGCCGATGGTGAAAAATGTTGAAAATAGTTCACACGGCGTCACATATTCAACTGCTTTCTTTTGTATTTCAACTCAGTAACCGCATTTTTTTTTTTTTTTTTTTTTTGGAAGGTCATTTTTCCATACCAGCGTGGAGAAGATGCAAACCGTTTCCATCCTCACAGCAGCGACCATATAATACAATAAGCAAACGTTGAAAGTTGGCATTTTCACAACAGCACCGGGAAGATCCAAAATGGGTCAGTTGCTTCGAGTGATGACTCGCTTGTTTTGTCTGCAAAACAAGAGATAGTAATGTAACATGAGGCGAATGCGCGCTCCTGAGGCGAATGCGCGCGCCGATAAGACCTCGTGGATTTGATAGATGACAAAGGAACCGAGGAATTCATCAACTAAGTTCTGTTTGCTAGCAACCACAATGTTGTCGCAAAAACCGTTTGAGATACACGTCAGAGTGCCTGCTTTCCATTTTCTCTCCAATATGTTCTCCGCTTCTCACAGCAAATTTTACACAAGGGTACCGCACGAGTGTTGGTCATCATGTGTCACGGTGGGATGTTGGTTGATTTTGTAATCCGGGAAGTAGAGGGAGAAATTAGTCAAGCCTTCGACAAATGTGTTTGGAGAAAAATCCTGGATGCGCAAACGAAATAGATTGCGTTCTCAAGGGTTTTTTTTTTTTTTTAAATTTATGAAATATCCTGAAATTTCAGATCACAATACCCATAACCCATACACCAAACGGTGACCCGATTTAAAAAAAAAAAAACTTTTGATCGGGGTTTTCACTAGTTCTGTGTTTGGCACGTCAAGTTTCCAATCCCTGTGTGTTTATTCAAAAGCTGACTGTGTGTCAAGAAAGGCCAGGGGTGAAAATAACACCAACTTTATCTTTGTGTGGTGCACCCCATTATTCCAAGATAGTATAAGTGATACTATGAAAACAGAAAGGCGGCGTTGGGCTAATGACAGATTGACTGATGAGACCTCATTAGAGGAGAAATCCAACGATTCAAATGGAAGCATATGGGGGGTGTTTGCTACCACTGCGAATACAACCATAATTAGTTTAAGATGACAATGGCCATTTATCAATTGACATTTTGGAATAGAAAATTGCCATTTTATGCTATCATCTTTTGTCATTTGCTCTCCTTTTTTGTGTAGCCTTGAACAATTCAATTGCACTTCACGAGGGTACATCAGGATGCGGTTAACATTTTTTCATCTGACAGAAGATAAAGGGCCCTTTCGGTCTATCTATCTTAATCGTCGCCCGATTTTTACTGCTTGACTTGGAGAACGCTTGCACTGATGTGACTCCAACTCGCCCTGATGAAAGAAATGAACAAAGGAGACCGTTCCAGATAGTTGCCTCGTGCCGGGGTTCTCGGCTCACTGCGTGTGGTACAGAGAGAAAGAGAGAGAGGGAGAGAGAGCGTGACGCTGCAAACAGCTGTCGAGGAAGCTTTTAAAGTTCGATCTTCCTTTCCTCAATGCAGGGGAGAGTATATGGACCCTGATAACATTCCCGACCAGTCAAAAGGTGGCGTGTGTTTGTCCAAGGATTACTTCCCTTAGCCTGCCCACCCTGGAAGAATCGCAGACGAGCTTGACTCTGATCTCAGAAGGATCCGCGGACAGGGAACAAGCTGCTCCACGCTTTATATCTTATTATTTTAGAGTTTTACGGACAAGAAGTGGTTGTTTGTTCAAGAGTGATGTGGCTCACCATGAAAACGTAATGCAATCACATTCAAATTGCCGTCACTTATTTGAATGATGAACAAAGTCAACCAGTGATACGATTGCCTTCAGAAACATTACAAACAAAAGTGAAGTGGCCACCGTCAGTACACTTTTTTTTTTCTTTTCAAAACACTTTTTTTTTATCTTTTCAAATCACAGATGTCGACTCCACTTCTACTATTTCCCCGATAATGAACATTTGGCAAAGGTGGTCAATTAGCAAGCCAAACTTTGTCTCAGCCTGACCGGGGAGTGAATGTAATAGATCTTCTCAGTCAAAAGTAGCTCAGACCGGGATTTCTTTCGAAGGGACAGTCTGTGCCAAACTAAGCTGTTGCACAAAGAGAGGGGAGGGAAAGGCCAAGGGGGCAGCATCTTATCCCTGTGAAATTCCCATCATTCTGCCTCTCCACGAGCATGATGCGCTACATAAACAGCGGTTGAAAATTTACACTGAAACACGGAACGGCGGCTTGTTTGTCTTGAGGGCTCAGACAACAAAGGAGTGAAGATGTTTCTTGACTTCATGCTATCAGATGGCCACACAGTATGGATGCAGAACCAAGAAGGAACCTTTCCAGTTTAAGGACAACTTCCTCTACTGTAGTTTATTTTCCGAGAAGATATGGGCCAAAAATAACAATTGGATTATTCCGATAGACAAGGACACTCTCCGAGGAATAAAAAGCTCTTCCTTCCTGACCCGACAACCAACTCACAGAAAAGACACCACGGAAATTGCAGAAGCACGCGATACGCACTGTAATAACATCGAGAAAATCCGTTTTGGTTGCACTTGTGCGATGACTGCAAATGTTGAACAGCATGTTGAACTCATGCAAGTTGATGGCCAAATGACAATAAAGCACACGCGGAATTGCTCAATATGGCATGCGGTTGTATAATTATGACGATGGGTGGGTGGGTTTTTTTTTTGACACGGGAGTAATTTTGTAAACTTGACAATCCGGCTAGGTAATGCTCAGTAAATCATCGGGCTGGCTGTTGGCGTCACAACATGGTTTACATTTTGCAGCGGTAAAGAAAGCATGGCGTTTGCGTTCTACGCGTCACTATACGGAATTACTCTCTTGGGGATGCCAGTGATGGGATTTATTTTGTTTGAACTACATGGTTGTACATTTCCCTAAACGCGAGCAGGATTTATATCTAATCTGAAAACATGGCTTGGAGCTTGGCGCCCGGTGAAATGCCGGCTGGGTAAAGTGACAATTTGATCTTCGATTATTGGTTTGTATTCTCATATGTCCTTTGAATTTGGGAATTTCATAAACTTCCAGTCAAATATTTCTCAAATTGCCTGACACCAATACTTGAATACCGTATGTCTTCTTTCACATGATTAGACAAACCGTCCAATCATTTAGTTGTACCCTTCATATATCACTTTTTCCAGCAAAAGGTTTGACTTCTGTCGGCTGTTGCCAACATCAAAATGCAGAGAATCGTCTTGGCCATTCTTGGGGTGAGGCAGTAGGTCATGGGTAGCATGATATCGGTGTATTTGTTTCCTTCCAGTTGCATATTGTTCTTATTAAAAAGCATGTCAGGATTGATCTTCCAGTTTTTGAGGATCATTGTGGAACAGACAAATATTCATCGGAGGCTTTTTCTTATTTTCTGTTCTCTTCACTTTGCTGCAGAGCTGCGCTTTCACTCTATTACATCCACCAAACTGACAGATTTTGATTCGGAGACAGGTCTGGACTGCTGGCAGGCCAGTTTACTCACATTATTTTACTCTGAAGCACGTCGCTGAAAACGACATAGCTTGGATGTCATCATATGCTTATTCATGCATGTACATATCAGCATTAATAGTATCTTTACATATGTACAAGTCTCCCATGCAGTAGGCGCTAACTAACAAACCAATATAACATCACAGATGCTGTCTGGTGATCTTTGCGCTGCGTTGAGAAATGTTATTTGGCCTCGGAAGAGGTCTATTTTGGGCCGAGTTCTCCTTTTTTTGATGCTGTCCAGCATGGAAAAACATCAACAGTGGGCTGTTTTCATTTAGAAAGATATTTGATTACGAATAGAATGACGATACCTTGTAGCTGACAAACAATCCATGGTTCTGCAGGGAAGCCTTTAAAATACAGGAATGATTTTCA